CGACAAGAGAGGACCTCTCCCTCGGCTGCAAGGTACAGTGCTGCACTCTCTATTCACATGGATCCCGGGAATTAAAACCTTTTGCAAACATTTTGAAACCATAATATATATATATATATATATATGTATATATGTATATCTCTATATAAATATATTTTGCAAAAACAAATTTCAATGGTTGAAATCAACTGCCGACATTCACTTTGTTTGACCCAAGGACCATTTCAATGGTTGCAAAAACAAGTTTCTATCAGAGAGAGTGCATCCCCGATCATTCACTTTGTTTGACAAAGGGGCTGATCCTGTCACTATGATTACTCACTCAGATGAATTCTCGGACTGTCCCAACATACCCAGGTTTTGACCCCTGTAAGGATCTCACTGATTGGCATATCAAAGACAACCCAATCCGACACCTAGTGTAGTATCATAATCGAGTCTAGCAGTCAGGTGTAACATTCTAGTTTTGCCCATCTATTTCCAAGGTCTAGGGCAATGCTGGAATTTTGGTCTAGTTCAGGGTTTCAAGAAAACCCACACTGCATGTACTTCAGATCTCACCCTGGCATCCGAGACAAGTCAACCCAACCAACTGGGTGGCACATCAGTGTTAGCCTTGGCAGGATAAATCTCCCCAGATCTCTCTAACGGTTGTGTAGATTCTAAACTAACACGAGTCTCATGAAGTGTCCAATTTAAGGGTATTACACAGAAACACACCACAATGACATGAATCAATTAGTACTTTATTCATTTACAATAAATGTCAAAAGGTACATCAATCTTATTGGAGCTAAGGGCATAACTGTCTAACACATCTCGTGATTGAGCTAATAATGATTTTTGTAAGGGATACCTGGTCATGAGATGAGAACGAGGAGGAAGGGATTCGTCCATAGAATGAGTAACCATAGTATGTTGGCGAGAATGCTGGGGAGCAACTGGAACCGTTGCCTCAAGAATGTCCTGCACTAGACGGGTTCCACAAGGTCCAACTTCAGGGGAAGATATTCCTATGGATGAAGCTATCAAATAGTGAGAGTTGTCAGATGGTGCCAAACCAACAGTAGTCATTTTGTAACCGAGAAGTGGGAGTCGGTGAGGTGGGAACCAGTGAAACAGAAGTGGAAGGTGAAGATATGGTAGGCAGCTGCAAATACGCACCAGTTGGCTGTACAAAACCTGAAGGAGAAGCCACAAAGTACCCTGGAAAATGATGCTCATCAATAACAACATGTCGAGAAATATATTCTTTCCTAGTTCTAGGATATAGATAGCGATAACCTGTGTTTGTCGCTGTAGCCAAGGAAGATGCATTGCTGAGATCGATAGTCAAACTTGTGCCGATTGTAAGGTCTAACAGAGGATAGCAAGCACACCCAAAAAATTTGAGAAACCGATAGTCTGGAGGAGAGCCGAACAGAACTTCATATGAAGATTTGTGTCAGAGAGTTCCAGTTGGAAGCCGATTAATTAAATAAACAGTTGTAAGGGCAGCATCTACCTAAAAGGAAAAGGGGAGTGACGAGGAAGCCAGTAGAGACAAGGTTGCTTCAATGATGTGGCGATGTTTCCGTTCAGCATAATCATTCTGTTCATGGGTGTGTGGACAGGTAAGTCGATGAGTAATGCTGATGGAGTCCAAGTAAGTAGAAAGCTTCCGATATTCTCTACCCTAATCAAATTGTAGGGCTTTGATTTTGGTATTAAATAAATTTTCAACATGACGCTTTAAAGACAAAAGTACATCAAAGACATCCGACTTCCGTTGTAACGGAAACAGCCAAGAAAATTTACTATAAGCATCAATGAAAATTACATAATAATGAAGCCCTGCATTAGATAAAATTGGGGCTGGTCCCCATTCATCTGAAAAGACCAAATCTAATGGACTAGAAACAACTGAGGGAGACAAGGGAAGAGATAACCTATGAATCTTACTTACTTGACAAGACTCACAAATTAAATTAGGACTGAAACTCAATTGACCTTCATATGGTTGTCTGAACTAGGTGACGACTTTCCTTACAATTCGCATGGCTAGATGCCCTAGCCGCTTGTGCCAATCATTAATGGAAACATTATCTTCAATTAATGCAGAAGGCTGATTTGTGTTGGTCACCTCTTCCGGAAGCTGATATAAACCATCTCTACTGGTTCCTCATAGCAGGATGTTTCCTGTATTATCCTTCACAAGAAAATAATCACCATGAAATTCAAAAAATAATTTGTTGTCACGAGCAAATTTGTGAACAAATAACAAGTCTTTGGAAAGTTCCAACACATGGAAAATATTATTTAAAGCAAATTGATGAGTAGTAGTATGAAGAGTTGAAGGACCAATGTTTTTGATTTCCAAACCTGAACCGTTCCCAACTTTGACTTGATTCGATCCTCCATATTCAGATCAAACTTGCAGATTGTCGGTGTCAGGTGTCATGTGATGCATGGCACCACTATCTGGATACCAAGTTGGATCGCATGTAGACTGAGTGGGAGCAGTGTTGCTATTGTAGGCGGCTGGTTCTGGTTCCTCATTTTTGTAATTCAGATGATAATGCTGATGACATTTTACAACTCCATGTTCCATTTTGTTGCACAGTTGACACACAATTTGACTGTCACGTCCTCAACCACCATTATTTGTGCGGTTGTCTAAAGAACCGTGCTCCCTGCCTCTCCCGTGGATGTTCCCAGAAGTAGTATATTGATTGTTATTTTGATTCTTGTTTTTAAAATTAGTAGTATTAGCTACAGGGGGTGTGGCATCAACATGAGTAGCATTCTGTTCTAACCAGCCTTCATGGCCAAGAAGAATGCCTAAAACATCATCAATATCGAGGTCCTCTATATCAGACCTATTAGTAATGACAATAACAACAGATTCATATTCTGAACCTAATCTAGCTAGTATATAAAGAATCAAATCACTCATCTTAACAAGTTCTGTGACAGCTGCAAGGCTATCAGTTATGGATTTAGCTTTCCGAACATATTCAAAAATAGAAATACCTTCTTTCTTGAGACTTTGAAGTTGTCTCTTGTACTAAAGCAGCCTGGAGCATGAGTAATTGGCAAAAGATTTGGCAAGAGCGTTCCAAACATCACAGGATGACTGATGTCCTACAACTTGAGCGAACATGTTCTCCATGAGTGACACAATGATCCAGGATAAGACTAGCTGATCTTTCTTAGACCACTTTGAAGGTGCGGGATTGAGAATCATCCAGTTACCATTGACCGGATCTGGTATATATTGTGGTGGTGCAGCAATTGACCCGTCTACATACCCCATTAATCTATTTGTGTAGAGGATCAGCAGCAATTTTGCCTTCCAGAGCAAGTAACTGTCATTGGTGAACTTAATGGGAAGATAGTGAATCCCACTATTAGGAGTTGAATTCGAACCTGTTGTGTTGTTGGAGGCGGACGCACCTGTTGAGTGTTGTGACTCAAAACTGAAGCCGCTGGAAGCCATGGGATCGACAGAGCTCTGATACCAAGTTAGAAACTAAAGATTTTCAATAATAATTGGGTGCAGTGAATTGGCCATTGGCCTTGAACTGTATTTATAATAGGAAGTGATTTACATAGATGGAAACTCTATCTTAGATAGAGTCCTACAGAAATAACAAACAATAGTGATTATCTCTTAGGATAATGACTATCCTAAGAGAACATCTCATTGGGATAACAATTATCCTAATGCTCTAAGGATAATTGTTATCTTAAGGATGGACTCTATCCTAACTGATATACATGTGGAGATATACTCTAATAGCTACTAACTTCAAGATTTAGGTAGCAAGGATGCTTTCTTGATTGAATGTGTTTATTGGACTCCACTTGTAGTGGGGCCATAGGCATGAAATGTAGTATAGGTATCTATTGTTTCTAGAATTTGCTTTACATTAGCCGGGATTAGAGGGTATTCAAAAACCAACCTCCTGTATTTCCAAGCTCAATTCCAAAATTGTAATCACACTGAGAATATGAGATCCTTGCTTGACAAGTACATAGAAAACTCAGGGAAAGTTTTTATAAGTTTCCCAATAGTAAAAGTCAAGGAGTATGGGTTCAGTAGAGGCAAGCTTCAAGAGAAAATGGTGTATTGCTAATAAAATAGAGGCAACTTATTGATGGGTTAAACAATTTGCTAATGGTTTCACAGATTCCTCAGCAAGCAAGGGATTTCCAGGGATCAAATGTTTTGTGTTGTGTTGTAATCTTTCTGGTTTGGGTTGGGATGTCTAGTTTGCTCTGTATAATTGTAATTTCATTCTCTAATTATTGAAATCTCACAGTTACTGATCAAAAAAGAAAATTATTTTGGTGGTTCCCTTTTAGATGTATTTGCATATATTCATATGTATGAAACAAATGATATTAAAGAAAATGCAAAGCCATGAAGCTTAGCATGAGTCAGTTTCAAGATCAAATGTATAATATGCAAGTTTGCTATTACCACTTCGATGAAAAACTAAGGTGTGCTTATTCTCTAGTTTCTTCCTCCTGAGAAAATAGAGAAAAATTTATGACTGAGACCAAACCAAATATTTGTATGATTCACCCACATTATACCTAGTCCATTGGAAATCCAACCAAGAATCTGTTGATGATCATAATTAGGGCTGCAAGTCGGGCTGGGTTGAAGCCAACCCTAGCCCAACCCTAAGTTCTAAACCCCCAACCCTAACCCTATACCAACCTGACCTTCAACCTGATCTACCCAACCCTAAATAAATTCCTTCAACCCTAACCCAACCCAATGCAACCTTCTCCCATCCCTTAAAATTTCGTAGAACTTCTTAATCTTAGATCTTAACTCAACTTTCATTACATATATTAATCCTATGTTTTATTAGTATTTGTTTATTGATGTTTTTATTGGTTATTTAAGTACAACTTTTATTGATGTTTAGGAGAATTTCATTGAATGTTCAAGGTTAAGCTCCATTCCCTCTTCAATAATATTTAACCACCTCAAGAGGTATTCTTCATGACAACAAAGGCTTTAACTGCCTAAAGACCCCACCTATACATAATCTTCTTAGATTGCCTACACTACTACCTTCAATGTCAAGCTTAATCTGTGTTGG